TAATAGAAGGCAATATCCAGGATGTTAATTTTAGAAACTGGAAGATTTTAGACTTAGGATAATGATTATCAAGAATGCTAACAAAACCAGCTAAATTAACTTGCCATTCTTGGGAATTAATATAGGCTTGTTGAATTTGTTGTTTTGTTAATGGAACTATAATCTTATTTGGATCATATCCCATTAACTTTGTTGTACACAGCCCTGCTTGTCCTACTAGCACAACAATTTGATCTAAGTACAGAGTGAGTGTTTTGGTTGTATTGTGAGGTAGAAAAAGCCACTCAACCAGATCATCCTGTTGAACTAGAACTCCTGTAGGTGAATGCTTAGGAGGAAAAACTAAAAACTGTAATGGCTGTATTGGATTAATCTGTTCTACTCGTGCTTGCTGAATTTTTTCCTCAATTAATTGAAGTTCCTCCAATGCTTCTTTGGACATGGAGCGTTTACTGTTAAGGTTAGAATCACCTCATAAAGCAGAAAAGAGGTGAGACATAGCATAGGTAGGAATGCCTAAAGTTGGACGAATCCAATTAATGTCTCCTAATAATTTTTGGAAATCATTTAAGGTTTCTAAATTATCTCTTCGAATTTGAACCTTTTGAGGCTTCATAGCCCTTTGCTCTACCTTCATTACCAGATATTGAAAGGGAGTAGAAGTTTGGATTTTATCGGGGGCTATAACCAACCCTGCCGCATTTACAGACTTTTCTAACTGCTTGTAGCACATCAATTCTTCCCTAGTTTCAGCTGCACACAGAATATCATCCATGTAATGGATGATATAACATTTTTTAAACTGTTATCTAACTGGCTTAATAGCTTTCCTGACATAAGTTTGACAAACAGTTGGGCTATTTAGCATGCCTTGTGGTAGTACTTTCCAATGGTATTTGTCTGCTGGTTCTTTATTATTTATGGCAGGAACAGTAAAAGCAAAATTTCCATAATCTTGGGCAGCTAAAGGAATGGTAAAAAAGCAATCCTTTAGATCTATCATGAGGAGAGGCCAGTATTTGGGGATCTTTGTTGGGGAGGGAAGCCCTGGTTGTAGCACACCCATGGGTTGAATCACAGCATTAACAGCCCTTAAGTCTGTTAACATTCTCCATTTCCCTGATTTTTTCTTAATGACAAATACAGGAGAATTCCAAGGGGAGAAAGTAGGCTCTATATGTCCCTTTTGCAATGGTTCCTGCACCAGTTCTTTTAAAGCCTCCAGTTTTTCCTGTTTCAGTGGCCATTACTGCACCCAAACCGGTTTGACAGCCCAACAAGAGGAATGGGAGCCAGAGGCTCAACAATGGCCACTCCTAAAAATGACACCCAATCCGGTCCGATCTGTTTGCCCTTTTAATTCTAAAGGTTCTGATTGGCCAATTTTTTTTTTCTAGTTCTTTTCCCAGGCGATATCCCATATTTTTCATCATTTGTTTACTATTATTGCTATATTGATCTGTAGGAATAGATATTTCAGCATCCCATTGTTGCAATAAGTCTCTACCCCATAAATTAACAGGAATAGGTGTAATGATAGGTTGGATTATCCCTTCCTAACCATCCGGCCCTTGATGTGGTAAAATCAAAGAACTTTGAAAAACTTCTGAGGCAGCTCCTACTCCAGCAATACCAATGGATGCCTTTTGCTTAGGCCAGTGCCGGGGTCATTGATTTATAGCAATAATAGAGACATCAGCTCTAGTATCTACTAGTTCTTCAAAATCTTTTCCCTGAATAGTTACTGTGCAAATAGATGTTTTGTCAGACACTTGATTAACCCAATACACAGCCTTTCCTGCTGGATTAGTATTACCAAAGCCTCCTGTTCTTTTCACTGTGCTGCTTCCTAGTTTTATGTAAGGTAATAGCAATTCTTTCTCCTGGGGAGGCAGATCATGGAGTCGAGGAACTAACAACTAATTGAATTTCTTTGGTATAATCAGAGTCAGTTATTCCCATATGTACAGTAACACCTTTTAAATTTAGACTAGACCTTCCAAGTAATACACTGACTGTTCCTGAGGGTAAGGGTCCCCTAACTCCGGTGGGGACCTTCTTTGGTGGCTCCCCAGGAAGTAAGGAGATGGGAATTGTGCTGTAGAGGTCTACAGCAGCACTGCCTGCTGAGGTGGGGGACAATTCTTGTACATTTGTAAGGGCACTGGCTGTGCCGGGTATGCCTCGGTTTGTTGAGGGGTTCGAGGTGGGGCTCTCTTCCCGTTTCCTGAAAGAGGTTGTCCATCTTTACTAAATTTAGAATGACACTCACTTGCCCAGTGATTGCCTTTCTTACACCGGGGACGTACACCAGGACTTTTCTGTTGATTGATGGTAGCAGTTTTTGCCTTTTGATTTCCTTTTCTACATTCCTTTCTTGTGTGTCCAAATTCCCCACAATTAAAGCAAGAGCCTGAGAAACAGGGCACATTCTTTCCTATTCTTAATCCAGCCATAGCCTGAGCTAAAGGAGTAGCCTTATGTAAATTACCTCCAATGCCATCACAAGCCTTAATATATTCAGCTAAATAAGCCTTCCCTCTCAGGGGTCTAATAGCAGTTTGACACTCTGCATTAGCATTATTGTATGCAAGAAGCTGTATTACAACATCCCGAGCCATTTTATCAGTTACGGCATCATACATAGCCTCCTGGAGTCAAGCAATAAAATCAATATATGGTTCTTTATGTCCTTGCCGGACAGAACTGAAAGGATATTTTTCCCCTGTAACATGTATCCTTTCCCATGCGGGTAAGCACACAAAGCGCAGCTGAACAATGGCAACATCTTCCATTACTGCTTTATTCTCTAATTGACCCCAATTAGGACCAACTCCCATTAACTGTTCAAAGGAAACAGGCACAGGTGGCTGTGCTTGTGTGTTTTCCCTTGCCTGAGTTTGAGCTTCATCAGGCCACCAGGTTTTAAACTGCAAGTACTGAGATGGAGTGAAAACGGATTTTGTCAAAGTATCTGAATCGTATGATATTAATCTATTATCAAGAGCCATATTTTTTTAATAAAGTTTGCACAAAAGGAGAGTTCGGTCCGTATTGACTAATGCCTTGCTTAAATTCCTTTAGTAACTTAAAAGGAAAAGTGGCCGAATTAGCTATATTCTGTCCTCCCTGCTGGATTATAGTAATGGGAAATTGCCATGCTTCAAGGTCTCCCTCGGTTCTAGCTTTTTGAATAGAATTTTGTACAGCACTGCCAATTGCTCCAGGTTTCAATGGTGCAACTACAGGAGCAGTAAGTTTTTCAGCTCATTTATTTTCTCACCCATTAAGGGGAGAGAGAGGAGGTGGCCATTCAGTTAATTCAGCAGGTGGAGCCAATGGGCTAGTAAAACATACATTTTTTAGTTTTCCTTTCTTTTCTTTAATCTCTTTCGGTAGCTGTTCGTCACACTGAGAATCTGAAGTTAGTTTTTAACACCTGCCCTCCTCTTCCTCATCTGAATCTGCCTCATCATCTGTGTGAAATGGCTCAAGAGCTGCCTTTATTAGTGCCCACACTGACCAAATGGAAACGGGAATTTCTGCTCCCTCTTTGTGCGCCTTTTTAAAATCTCTTCCAATTATCTCCCATTCATCCAACTCCACAGTCTGTTGTTCAGGAAACGATGGGCAAAACTGCTTTACTGTACTAAAGAGTGATAACAAATTCTGAGTACTAACTTTCACTCCCCCTCTTTGTAATAAATGCCTTAAGAAATTTAAATAAGCAGAATGTCTGCTTTCACTTTTTCCCATTGTTACCCTGGTTCTTCCGAGCGCTCAGCTTTCCCACCGAGCTTCTTTTAGGACGTCTTTTAGACATCCTCGGGTGTCCTCTGACGATGTGTCCTCTGCTTTCACACACTCTAGCATGCCTTCACTGGGGTCTTTGTCGCCCCACATTGGGCAGCTAGGAATGTTGGGGTGATCAGACCCAACACCAGGTCATGAGGGTGACGAAGTCTGGCGGAGTCAAAGGAATGAGAAAAAGTTTGAGAGAGAAAGTGGCACCAGAGGGCCATCAAGAGTATGGAGGCTGCGAAGGCCCCAAGCTCTGGGAACCCATACTATTTATTGGTGCTCAAACAAAGAAACGGGTGGTGAGGATGTGGGGGTTAAAAGGAAACAGTGTATCAAGTGAATGAGAAGCATATGGCTGCTTGAGATAATGGGAATGCTAGAAGCAATGAGCCAGCAAGTCTAGCAGACATGCAAGCCCTGCCTCAGCTTCTCTCCCAACACTCAGCTTTTCTCCCAACAGTCTCCCAAGTAACTGGGACTACGGGTGTGTGCCGCCACGCCCAGCTGATTTTTGTATTGTTAGTAGAGAAGGGGGGGGTAGTTCACCATGTTGGCCAGGCTGGTCTCGAACTCCTGACCTCGTGATCTGCCTGCTTTAGCCTCCCAAAGTGCTGCGATTACAGCGCTTGGCTGATTTTTTTTTTCTTTTCTTTTCTTTTTTTTTTTTTTTGTAATTTGGTGATTTTGTAGTTTTGACAGTTTGTAACTGTACATATTTACAGGGTACAATTTGATGTTTATATAAATGCATATATATACAGTATACTGATCAAATCAGGGTGTTTAACATATCCATCACCTCATACATTCAATCATTTCTCTGTGGTGAGAACATTCAAAAGCCTCTCTTCTAGCTATTTTGTAATATGCAATACCTTATTGTTAACCATTGTCACCCTACTATACAATAGAACACTGGAAATTATTCCTCCTAATTGTAACTTTATATCAATTGACCAATCTCTCCTTATCCTCCCTTCTCCTCTTCCCTCCCCTTCTCAATCTCTGGTAACCATCATTCTACTTTATGCTTCTCTGGTATCAGATGTTTTTTTTTTTGGAGGTGTAAGTGAATTTTTATTGGGAAGGGAGGTTGTCAACTTAAACAGCAACAAATAAAGAGTGAATAAGGAAACTCCCTGTTGCCACAGATACACATGACCTCCTTACGTGATACAGGAGGCATTTCAATTTGTGACTCCATTCAATCTAATATTTCTAGATTCCTACTAAAAAGGAATACATTAAGAGCATGGAAAAGTTGCTTATTGAAAGGAAACCCCCAAAGAGTAAGGGAGGGAATCTAGAAATTAAGTTATGTGGGACACTCTTTAAACTGTAATTAACTACATTTTCGTATCTTCACAGTAATACAAAACACAGTCACTTGCAGAACTGGTTCAGATTAAATACCAGATACATTTTTAGTCCTCTATAAGTGTTTGGAAGTTACTTACGTTTATATAAAATGAAGCTATTAATACTTTTCTACAGCAGTAACTGCACACCAGGAAGGCCAAGACAAACACTGATCAAGGAATGAAGTTTTCCCAAAGCTGCAGTATGAAAAGACTATAAACAGTTGATTCCATACACATGAATGGGTTTCTTTGCTATAGGAAATCCAAGTGGAATAAGGAATGGAGATGTCTAGAAAGGTTTCTTTAAGGAAAGAAGGATGACACCCTGCATGGATTTAGATTTCAGCCCCTTCTGCAACATCACATTCTTCTCCTGCACTGTCTGATGTCCAAAGTGTTAGGCTGTCTCTAAGCAACTGCATGATGAGGGTGCTTTGTATGAGTGTTCATTCAGTGTATCAAGTTCAGTTATGGCCTCATCAAAAGCCGTTTTAACCAGCGTGCAGGCAAGCTCTGGGTTATTAAGAATCTCATAGTAAAATACAGAAAGGTTAAGAGCAAGCCCTAGGCGGATTGGGTTGTGTGGGTTGCATCTTTCTTGCTTATATCAAATGCCTCTTGGTAAGCTCCTTGGGAATTATCGTTTTGGATCATCACCATATGCAACTTCAGCAAAGTACCGGAAGTAATTACCCTTCATTTTCAGATAGAAGACCCTATTCTCTGGATTAGTTGCATTGGCTATTAAATATTTATCCAACAATTCCAGGACCGTCGTGCAGATGGATCTCAGCTCGGACTCCGCTTTCTCCCGATAGTCCTTAATCAGCTGCAAGTTCTTGTCGGAGGTGTAGGTCTTCTGCTGGGTGCTTGAGATGACTCTCCAGGCGGACCTGCGGCCCCGACCACGTTCTTGTAGGCCAGGGAGAGCAGGTCGTGCTCCTCCTTGGACAGCTCAGCGCCCTGCTGGGTCACGGCCTTCATGCAGGTGGCCATGTCGTCGTAGCGCTCGGCCAGTTTGGCCTTCTGGATCAGCTCCGTCTTCTCCATGGCGGGCGCGGAGCCTGGCCGGGGCGTAGGGCGAGGAAAGCGAGGGCCAGCGCCGAGCCGGAGCGAGAGGAGCCTCGACAGCTGCGGAGGGGCGTGGCGGCGAGGCGCGAGGCGAGGACAAAAAGCCGGGAGGCAGCGCCGTCAGACAATGCGGCCGGCAGCCAGCTTTTGTCTCTGGCACGAGGCTGCCGGGTTGAATTTCCCTATCCCCCGACCCCACCGCTGCAGGGCGCCCCGGGAGGCAGCTGCCCGCGGCGGGAGGAGGCGGGGGCGGCGCAGAGGCCCAGCGCGCTGGGAACCCAAGCTGCGGCCGTTCCCGCCACCCCCGCCCGACCGGCCCAAGATAGAAGCCACCGTTTGATATCAGCCTTTTAAAAAAATGGATTCCACATATGAGGGAGATCAGGTGTTATTCGTCTTTCTGTGTCTGGATTATTTCACTTAACATGATGTCCTCAAGGCTCATCCATGTTGCTGCACATGACACGATTTCATTCTTTTTTATGGCTGGATAGTATTCCATTGTGTGTGTGTATTACATATATACATACACCACATTTGTGTGTGTGTGTGTATATTTATATTCACACATTGTATATATATACCACATTTCTTTATCCATTGCTGGACGTTAGGTTGACTCCATTTCTTGGCTAATATAAATAAACATGGGAGTGCAGAGATCTCTTCAACATATTGTTTTTATTTCTTTTGAATAATACCCAGTAGTGGGACTTCTGGATCATATGGCAGTTCTATTTTTAATATTTTGAGGAACCACTATACTATTTTCTATAATGGCTGTACTGATTTACAATCCCACCAACAGTATATAAGTGTTTTCCTTTCTCTACATTCTTGCCAACAATCATTTTGTTTTGTCTTTTGATAATAGCTATTCTAATGGAGTGAAGTGGTATTTTGTTGGGGTTTTCATTTGCATTTCTTTGATAATTAGTGATGTTGAGCAAAGTTGGCCATTTGCATGTCTTCTTTTGAAAAATGCCTGTTAAGGTCTTTTGCCTATTTTTCAATTGGGTTGTTGATTTTTTTTGCTCTTGAGTTAAGTTTCTTAGTATTCTAGATATTAATCCCTTGTCAGATGTATAGCAAGGACTGCTGGCATCTGTGGTGACAATGGGGACAGGTGGGAGCCTCTAGTTTACTTTTTCCCTGTAAGAAGTCGTCTCCCTGTATTTGATGCAATTCTGGTGGAGGAGACAGTGTAGAGAGGGCCTTGCTTCCCTCTCTATGGTGCTGTTCTGTGCTTCCATGCTCCACTGGGATTTTGCTCTCCCCTGTTGCTTTCCAGTGTACTTTCTCAGTCACTCCTGTTGAAATATAGTTGTTTATTAGTTGTTTTGTTTCCTTTTGTGAGGGGAATGAGTGCCAGGTTGACTCTAGTGGCTGTCTTGCTGATGTAAGTCAGAATTTTTCCATTTTAGCTATGTTATCTAATTTACTGACATATAATTGTTCATAGTATGCCTAAGTAATCATTTTTATTTCTGTAATGTTGGTAGTAATGTACCCTGTTTTATTCCTGAATTCAGTTATTTGTGTTTTTTGTTCTTCTTGTTTAGTCTAGCTAAATGTTTATCAATGTTGTTGACGTTTTCAAAGAACCAGCCTTTGGTTTTTTTCCTCCATCATTTTTCATTCTCTATTCCATTTATTTCTGCTTTAATCTCTATTATTTGCTTTCTCTTTTGCTTTGGGTTTAATTTGCTCTTCTTGTTCTAGTATCTTAGGGTATAAGGCTATATTATTGATTTAAGATATTTCTTTTTTAATATAGGATTTTGTAGCTATAAAAATTATGCATTGCAAAAGTTTTATTATGTTTTAGTTTTGATGTAACTCATAACATTTTCTTATTTGTTGTAATTTTATTTTTATTCTTTGATTCATTGATTATTTAGGAGTGTGTTGTTTAATTTCCACGTATTTGTAACTTTTCCAAATTTTCTTCTTTTATATCTAATTTCATTCCATTCTTGTCCAAAAACATACTTTGTATGACTTCAATCCTTTAAAATTTATTGCATCTTGTTTTATGTCACAATATGTTGTCTATTTTGAAGAATGTTTTATGTGCACTTGAGAAGAATTTGTATTTTGCTGTTGGATAGAGTGTTCCATAAATATTGGTTATTTCTGTCTGGTTTATTTTGTTGTTCAAGTCCCACATTATTTGAAGTGGAGTATTGAAGTATCCAACTCTTGTGGTTGAATCATAATTCTCTCTTCCATTTTATCAGGATTTTTTCCTGTATTTTGGACCTCTATTGTTAGATGCATATGTATTTGTAAATGTTATATCTTCTTGAAGGATTCACCCATACACACACTCCTTTTTTTTGTTGTCTCTAGTAACAACTTTTGTCATAAAGTTTGTTTTCTCTGATATTAGTATAGCCACTCCAACTCTCTTTTGGTTAGTTTGCATAAAAAATCTTTGTTTTGGCCAGGGGCTGTGGCTCACGCCTGTAATCCCAGCACTTTGGGAGGCTGGGGTGGGCAGATCACTTGAGATCAGGAGTTTGAGACCAGCCTGGCCAACATGGTGAAACCCCGTCTTTACTAACATTGCAAAAATTAGCCAGGCATGGTGGTGTGTGCCTGTAATCCCAGCTACTCAGGAGGCTGAGGCCAGAGAATCACTTGAAGCTGGGAGGTGGAGGTTGCAGTAAGCTAAGATTGCACCACTGCACTCCAGCCTGGGCAACAGAGTCTCTCTCGATATATATATGATTCTCTTACTTTCTACCTATTTGTATCTTTGGATCTAAAGTTTTTTTGTTATAGACAACACATAGTTGGACAATGCTTTTAAAATCTCATACAGTGCCAGCCGCGGTGGCTCACACCTGTTATCCCAGCATTTTGGGAGGCTAAGGCGGGTGGATCACCTGAGGTCAGGAGTTGAAAACCAGCCTGGCCAACATGGTGAAACCCCTGCCTCTACTAAAAATACAAAAATTAGCTGGGCGTGGTGGTGGTGCCTGTAATCCCAGCTGCTCAGAAGACTGAGGCACGAGAATTGCTTGAACCAGGACCTGGGAGGCTGAGGTTGCAGTGAGCCGAGATTGCACCACTGCACTCCAGCCTGGGTGACAGAGTGAGACTCCGTCTCAAAAACAAAACAAAACAAAAACAAAAACAAAACTCATATAGAACATAGATATTTTCTAGTGTAGCATCCTAATTCCCTTGTCATTTCACTTACTGTGTTTTTAAAAATTTTTTAGTGATTTCCCTGAGTATTACAATTAGCATTTTTAACTTATAACAATCTAATTTGGATGAACAGTAGCTTGATTTCAATAGTATATGAAGATTTTGTTCTTCAGTAGCTCCATCCTAACCCTCCTTTATGCTGTTGTTACCCCAATTTACATGTATATACATTGAGTGTCTTTTAACACAGATTTATAATTCTTGTTTTATGCAGTTGTCTTTTAAATAAGGAGAGAAAACGTGTTATAAACAAAAAATACATTTATACTGTATTTTATTTTATTATTAATTTTTGAGACAGAGTCTTACTCTGTTATCCAGGCTGGAGTGCAGTGGTGCAATCTCGGCTCACTACAGCCTCAATCTCCTGGGTTTAAACGATCCTTCCACTTCAGCCTCCCAGGTAGCTGGGACCACAGGCATGCACCACCACACCTGACTTTTATATTTTTAGTAGAGGTGGGGTTTCACCATGTTGAGCTGGCTGTTAACAAACTCCTGGCCTCAAGTGATTTACCCACCTTTGCCTCCCAAAGTGCTGAGATTACAGTCATGAGTCACCGTGCCCAGCCATACTTTCTTATTTATTTGTATCACTCATCATTTTTTGTTGAAAACTGGACTTTTGAATAATCTAATGTGGCAACTTTGGAAATCAGATGCTCTCCCTTTACCAAGGTTTATTGTTGTTTTGACTTGCTTTTACTAATGTGGGTGGGTGGTTGTTTTAGTGACTTCTCTGAACTAGTCTGTATTCTTTGTCATATGGGACCACTAAATTCTCTACTCAGCTATTTTAGAGATTAGTTCATGATTGGACAGAGAGCTTCTTAAATGCCCAGAACCAGCAAATCTCCTAGTCCTTGTCAAAGAACTCCATGTGCATGTTGGGGTGTACTTTCAACAATCAACCAGGCCATTAACAACTCTGCCTTAGCTTTCACTTCCTGATTGTGTAAAGGCTCAAGGTCAGCCAGACATGACAGTGTGGGGCCTTCTTGAGTCTTTCCAGAGCATGTGTACAGTTCTATGCATGCTGATGCCCTTCTAGATTTTCTGAAAAATGTAGGAGGTTTTCAAAGTGCTTATAGATATATTCTTCCCCAAATTTTCTGTTTAAGATTTTTTTATTAGTCTATTGTGTACCTTAACTGTTATTCACAGCCTAAGGCAGCTGCAAAGCTAAATTACTTCCCTGTATTTGTTTTTGGCAAATACTCCCCCTGGAGAAGGCTTTTTGCACTGTGTTATCTCAGAGCAAGTGGTATTTTCCAGGGAACCACGAGACATATATAATAATGACAGTTGTTTAGGAATGAGGCTTTGAATAAGCTCCCACCTCTTTCTGCTCCCTCACGTGTCAGACAGGCTGCTGGTTTTCTTCATAAATGTGGACTGTAATTTTTTAAGGCTACTGCAGAGCTAGAGAGTGGGAGATGGAACTAGGACAAGTTAAAATGACATAAAGCTCACTTTTCTTACAGAGATTCAGGTGTTTTTCTTTAAAATACATTCCCCATTTGCTGCAAGTCTTTGGTTAATTCCCAGAGTTCTGAAAATGTTGACTTTGACGAGTTTGGGCTTCAAAATAATTTTACAGAGGACTGAATTTGGGGGACCGTTATTCTTCCGTTTTCACTGATATTGCCTCAAGAATTCTTTTAAAAAGCTTGTTAATATAATTATGTCTAAAAATATTAACAATACTGCTTTAATATATGTCTATTTTATGTTTCCCTGATTGTCTCAAAGTATCTTTATAACCATTTGTTTGATTCAGATATTTTAAATGGTCCTCAGATTACATTTGGTTGATATGTCTTTAATGCCTCATTTAATCTATAGGTTCTCCTTGTTCCTTTTTATTTTTGCAATTTATTTGTTGAAGAAACTGGGTGTTTGTCTTCCTAAGTTTCCTACATTCTAGAGTTTGCTCATTCTATTCTCATGATATTGTTTAACATGCCCCTTTGTCCCTTTTTTCCCTACAGGTTTAATTAGAGTAGATTTTATCTTTTGATAAGAATATTTCATATATACTATTGTCTGTCATTCTCCTTATATTTTAAAGCTATATTTGGGTGCCCATATCAGGGCCCTACA